GTGTGTGTGTGTGTGTGTGTGTGTGTGTGTGTGTGTGTGTGTGTGTGATATAAAAATTGAAAAAGATTTTAAAGAAATTATTTACAATCGTTTTCGATAAATAAAATAAGGGGAATGCATGCGTTATTTACCTTCATGTTTATTATTATTAGTTGGATTGGGAAGCCGAAAAAACAAAGATATGAATTCCGGATAATTCCGGAAAGATCGAAATTTTCTTTGATACTCGTAAGAAATTTTTGGAATTTTTCAAAATAATACACAACTTGTTTCGAGCTATCTTCCTGCGTAATGCTAAAATCTGTTAAGCAATAATAAAAGATATGCCAAACTGATCTCACATCCAAGTTTTAGTTTAGTAAATAATTTTCGTTTTTTTTTATTCAATATTTCTTTAAAAACTTTTAACATCAGATAAGTTCTATTAAACATCTTTTTAGAGGGCTACAATTTCAATCAATCCGTATCCGTAATGCTATGTTGCCCATCAAATAAGTGTAAGTGTGAGAGATATATTCTTTTTGTCAAAATGTTTGCCCAGTCCAAAGGGAAGCTTCAGTGACCCCGCATTGTAGGCATATGCTTAATCAGCATCTATGTTCATCTGTCCGTCAGCGTAATGCCGGCGGTAAACAAACTTTTGGGCGCAAATATTGCAAAAACATTGAAAGTTGGTCGGTATTGAAAATGGGCCAAATCAGACGGAGGTCAGTCCCTACAGTAGCATGTAAACTGAGAACTCCTCTGCTTTTAGAAAGGAATAAAAAATTGTTTTTTTTTTGTTTTTTGTTACTGCTCGTAAATTACGTCATATAAATGTACAAAAATTTGAAAGTATATTCTATTCGTACGCCTAAGCAATAGTGCACGAAACGTAAGCGCAATATGAAATTTCATATATTCGCAATGATAAAGCTCATGGTCAGAATATGCTTGATGGGATTAAGATTCTTTTTACTATTCATTAGATATTCGCTTATAATATAAATCAAATCATATATTAATTAATGAAAAGTTTAAAATTGTATAACAGATTTTTGTTAGAAAGAGAAAAGTTCAACTTTGGCAAATGATATAGGTTTGCCTATTCTCCTGTAATAACGGCGAAATTTCGTCGACGAAATTATTGACAATAGTTGTCTTCTCGATCCACCCTACATGCTAATTTTCGTACACTTAACACTTAGGATACTAATTACTATGAAAATACTCTTTACATTAACGCAACATTAGTTACGAAGATTTTACGCTTAACAAGATACAACAATGGCATTGGCATAGATAGTTATTGTCGTTGAAACTCTACAGTGGACCTTCTTAACATCTTAATTTGCGAAGAGGTAACAATAAACGGCCCAAAGCGTTTCTAGCATCGTGCCTGGAACGATGCATGCTATCTTACTTACTATTTACGACATAGGCTCTTCAGACGTAAAATATTAAATGCTCGCGAAAAATATAATGAAATATCAAACGGAATATGTTAGTTGATACGTTTAATCATCCATTACAGTTTTCTAATGTTTTTCTTCCTCTTTTTGGCTTTCAATCATCGAATCTAACTAAAAACTCGGAAAATCCGCATGAGTTGAATGCATTTCGAGAGACGGCAATTGTTTTAATCGTTGAAGAAATCTTTAAAAAAGCGAACATATATTTGTGCGTGCGTTTATTTCAAATAGTTTTGTGTTTTTTTTTTAAAAACTTAGTATCTCTCTTAAATTACATTTTAGTTACAGTTCTCACTCAACATATAATATATAGGTGCTTGCATGTATTTTAAACATTTTTGTTCACTTGAAAAAGGCAGTTATTGAGAAAAATCGGTACAATATAATTTAATCAAAACATTTTCTATCGTTTTACGATAACTTTTCGCTACTTTTCTGGCAACATGACGATACCGTGTCAAAGCAACGATATTGGTTTGGCTGCGTTGCAATCAATCATCGATCCATTTTCACATTTCTTCAGCATCTCGAAACACTGTGCACGTCAAGCCATACCGCAGCGAATGGGTCCAGGCGCTATGTTCGGGTGCGGCAGAGCTTTTCGTTCAAGCTGCAAGAGTGTATCCTTGACAACTCTTGTAACGTGTCGAAGAGCGTCTGTTAACCGCTATTGTTGTTCTTTTTATGTAATAATACGTCGCTCAATTTGTTCAATTCGTTGTCGGTAGACACCTGCAGTAACGGTTTCATTCGGGTTTAGCAGCTCCTAATACACTACACCTTGCTGATCCCCACCATATGCACAGCAAATCTTCATGACCATAAATATTCCGCTTCGGTGTCGATGTGGATGGATCTTCCGAACTAACTTATGATTTTTTGCGCTTGGAATTGCCATAGTAGATCCGATTTTCATCATCGGTCACAATACGTTACAGAAATGTTTTCTTTTTGGTTACAGTTTGAAAGTTTCTTGAGAGTTTTCGTCCCGTAAATGTTCCAACGTTTTCAGTCTTTCAGACCGTACTTTGTAATTGATATAAAAATCGCCACCTTTAAGCCGCTCAAACGAAAGCTGCCAATTGCAGTATAATGGACCGGCATTATCATAAGCTTGTAAAAGTGTTTGATGGGCCTCGGTAGTAGATTTCTTCAAATCAAAGGACAAAAATAATGAACAGGTCAGCGCCTGTATGCATGGAATAACTCAATAATACTAAATGGAAAATTCTGAATTTCATAGAGAAAAAGGTCAAAATCGAAATCGAAATCGAAATCGAATTTAAACGTTGTGCACATTGGTACTTCGCATTACTTAATCATTTTCAACAATAGATATCGCTGAACAAAACTAAATGCAAGCATGTATTTATAATGAATGCGCCGTTAGCTTTCAATGAGGATTTGGAAAATGTTTTAGTCTGATCTAGAACTGAAGTGTTATCTCAGCACATTGATGCAATGTTTAGTTTCTAGAATATAGATATAGACAAATATTAGCGTATTATACTTAGTACGGATTGTTTTCTTCGTCATCTACTCGAGACTATCGATAATATCACAATGTTTTAGCAAATAGTTTAGATGTTAGTTAAGACTTTAGATGTGTCTTTAAATTTTCCAAAAGTCCTTACAACATATATTCGTGTGTCTTTTGTTTTGCTATTTATTTAAAAAAAAATTTTTTTTTTAATAAATCTTTTCTGTTCTCTTTCAATCGCAACAAAAATATTTTATTTATAATATTCTTCTCTTCTCCTCATCATCTATTTTAATTCTAGATTTACATATATACATAAAATATTAATGCAAATAATTGTTTTCATTTTTTTTTTTTTTTTTTTTTTTATAATTATTTCTCATTACAACAAAATTTATTGCTAAAAAAAAAAAAAAAAATAAACCAAAAATTGTGCAGATTCATGACACAATTCCCACAATTAGGGCAGAATGTAGATCTAAGAACACTTAGGGCCATTCGTGTGCTAAGGCCCTTAAAATTAGTCTCTGGAATTCCTAGTGAGTAGTGATTTAGTACAAATATATATATATATATATATACACATTATATATTCATGAATTTCATCAAATCATCAAATCTCTTCATTTGTTTAATATAATTTTTATTACTTTTCTAGGAAAACTTTTTTCCATCAAGTTCTTCTAGCAAATCATTATTATTAGTAAAATGCTTTTAGTTAATTTTATTTCATTTTAGTTCAATGGCATTATTATTATTATTATTAGTAGGAATAATTTTAATATATAAAAAAAAAAAAAAATTTTTTTTTATCATAAACTCTTACTAATCAATATTTTTATTTCTTTTCATATGCCACCACAACCTGGCTTTCTCTTCGTTTTTTCTTAAACTATTATATTTTGTATTTTTATTTATTTATTTATTTTTTTAACGAATACAGGTTTACAAGTAGTTTTAAAGTCCATTATCAAGGCTATGGCACCGTTACTACAAATTGGACTCTTGGTCTTGTTTGCGATCGTTATATTCGCCATCATTGGACTCGAGTTCTATTCGGGAACATTGCATAAGACTTGTTATAGCTTAGAAGATCCAAGTATATATGAAAATTCAAATGAAAAAAAAAAAAGAGACCCGAAAAAAAAGAAGCATTTATGATGCTACTATTGTTTGGCGAATTTTATTTAATAATATTTTAATGATTTTACTATTTCAGATAAACCGGTTAAAGAAGGTGAATCAGAAACGCCTTGTAATTCGGATAAAGAAGCGGATAAGTCAGGCGGTGCATACGTATGTAATTATAATACGAGTATGTGTCTGGAAAAGTGGGATGGACCGAATTCTGGCATTACTAGTTTTGACAATATCGGGTTTGCCATGTTGACCGTATTCCAATGTATCACAATGGAAGGCTGGACAGCAATACTGTATTGGGTAAATGTGTTAATAACTGAAAAAAATCAAAAAAAAAAAAAAAAGAAAAGAATTTACTGTGCTACTACCGCTACAATCAATGGCTTTTTATACTATTCAAAAACTTCTGGATTAACTTACATACATCTTCTCTCTAAACCTATTCTTTACGACTTTCTTATAATTATCGCTAAAATATTTCTATATACATATAATATGTAAGGTTTTTTATTAAGGGCGTACCTAACTGAACTTTGAGTTTTCATTTGCCAGCGTTTGTGTTTCTATACTTCTCCAATTTGTTTTCGTCATTTCAGAAAACAGAATAATTGCGTAACGTTGCCAGTATGAGCAGACTTATGTCGGGACTTGGTTTATTAACTTAACATTACGCTTAATGAAATCTACTAAGCCGGGAGTAGATTTTTCAATAAAATTTCTTTTCTACATGTTCCCAATCAAAGAGCAACCACCTACAAGCATAATGTATATAAATTAATCGCAGAGATATTGCGCACTTCTTGCATTTTTCCATAGGATTGGGAAAAGTAGCACTATGTGCATGTGAACTTATCGCAATCTAACGGATGTTTAGAGAAACAAAATTTAAATAATTTGTTATATTTTATGATTGACGATTGGATCGTAATAAGTTTTAAGACATTTGCTTTGCTTTTTGTTTTAAATATTCGAATTTTTAAGGACAATAGCGAAAACATAAAAAAAAAGAAGAGAAACAAAGGAAGGTGGGAAGCCCTTATAGAAAATCCTATATATATATATATAAATGTGCATATATATATATATATATATGTGTATGGATATATATATGTGTATATGTGTATATATACATACGCAATTAAGTATATAAACGGTACAATAATTTGCTAAAAGGCTTTTGTTGTCAACGTCAAGCTTTCTGTTTAGGAAACTATATATACGACCATATACTTGTATATAAAACTCCCTTCCATACTTTACATACGAGTATATATTCAAATTATTTATAAATTCAAATGTGTGCATTTTGAGCTGAGTTTATTCGTTTTAACGTCTGAATATACCAAAGGATAAGTGTGTAATAATTTACCTAATACAGAATTGCCTATCGTTTACGATAGTGCGCTCTTCGTTATCGTGTTTTTTTTTTTTTTTTCTTTCTTCTTTTTATGAGTATTTCAGTTACATTTTAGATTTGTATCCACATGTCGTTTCATTTTTTTTTATTAAAGTTGTTTTTAGTGCAGTTTACGGGAAAAAATAGATTTCAACAAAATTCAAAAAAAAAAATAACCAATATACACACAACTGTCAGCGTTTAAGGTTTAAGTTTCAAATTGCATTCCATTTTTTTATTTATTTATTTTTTTTTTGCATAAAACTAATGAATGTTTAATTAATAATATAATTGTTGTTTTACTCGATAACCTTTTGCCATCTATTAGGCGACCCTATGAATTTCGGACTTTATCAGCAAAACAAAAAAAAAAAAATATTTAATCAAATAATTGTTCGATTGAATATTACAAACAAGAAATCTTTGCTTCTACTCAGGTTTACCTTATCAGTTCCAATCAAGTTTCAATCATTTAAGATTTCAGACAATCACATGATTAGTGGAAACTGTATTATTTTGAAGAGTTTTATGTATATCGCAGTAAGTTAGGAAAATGCCTAACAACGTCGACAAATAATCAAAAATATTAAGAGCTTTCCTAGATGGAATCTAATTTTGCAATTATCTGAAATGTTGACAATTTCTTGCTTCGATAGATCCAATGTTTATATTGAGTTCAAGACATTTAAACTCATAGGATGGTACATCGAGATTCTAACCGGGACCGGAGGAACGGTATTCTAATTGTTATTATTGCTAATATGTACGCAATTTTGTTGACTGCAATGTGTGTCATACGTTGATTGTTCAGCCAGTTACGAACGATGTATACTTATTTTAATGATATGCAAATATATATAGTTTTTCCCGGCAAAATTTTTATATTTACCCTAGAATCCATTATTAAATGTGATGGAGGTATTAAGTATGAAAAGGAAAACGTTATGACAGTCTGATAAAAGTCCTTCCAAACAATTGCAGTGTTGAAAGGAAT